ACAAGAAAGAATTCACAGAGACTAATTTTGTTAGCTAGTCTTCAGTAAAACTTCAGGAAATTCTATCTTTATTACGGAGGAAACTTTGCCCAGACTAATTGGATGCCATTTAACAGCAACCGTCACTACACAGGCAACTTGGCAGACATCAAGGTGAACGCTTTCATTTTTAGCAGAGATAAAACACAGAAACATAGGTCACAGAATGACTGAAATTTAGTCATGTGTTACACACCTAGCTAACAGGCCATTATTTTAACTACTGTAAACAGCACACATTTTTTTTTTTTAAATCTAAGACTTAGACAATTAGATTTTTCAAATTATTTGAGACCTGGATATTTAAAAACAGAATAAAAGCACGACTTGTTAGGAATAACACAAAGAAGCTACCTTTCATGTATTTTAAAACCTTGAAAAATGCTAAAAGGCATTCTTTTTAAAGGCTTCTCTTTATTTTCATGTACAAAATAGAAAAGTGATCAACACACTAGGAAAATACCACTTTATCATCTCACGAGTAACCTTTTTATGATTTTACCAAAGTTAAAATTCATATGGAGCCATCCTAAAGCAATTTAAAACAAGATAGGAGAAATTTTAAAAGACAGCTTCGCCAGCCAGCCTGGCTACCACAATTCCCCATTTGCTCCTCCCACTCAGAAACAATCCTCCTACAGTTACAAGCAACTTAATGGCTTTGCCTATTGGAAATCCAGCGGACACAAAGTCTGCCCAAAGAAGATGATATGCAAGCTCTAGTCTATGCATTTTCATTGTATGGGAAAAAAATCCCAAGCCAGAAAATGGGTAGAGATATAAACGAAATAAAGGAATTGAAGCTAGTGAGGTGGAAGATGTTTGAAAACAGGAGCGTGACAAGCAAGATTAGCTATAACTAATCTCTCCTGGTCTTGGAGTACCTCTCTCTCGTACCATTTTTACCTGATAAGAATTGTGATCTAAGGCAAGCACATCAACTGACATGATTCCACAGTAGATGAAAGCTTACAGGGGGAAGTGGGGAAGGACAAAAAAAGCAAGATTTTGCTTTTTTTTTTGCTCCCTTTTGCAAAGGGAGAAGCCGACAAAATTATAGACTGATCATTAGACAATTAATCAAACAGATGAAGCTACGCAAGATGCTATCACAATTATCCCAAAGTTATCACAGTTCCAGTTTTTTACTCTAATCCTAAATGTAAGTCCATTAGATGGTGGGAATTAAATTACTCCTGGAGCCTGTTTATTTCAGTTATCTTAGTAGAAGGACATGAACATATGGTAGAAATTTGCCCTTGCCTAAAATTACTCTGCTTGTACTATGTACGTTACAAACACGCAGACAGGGAATGGCACTGCCAGATGTAGCGAAGGGAATAAGAGGATAAGAACGGGGGTGAAGGCTTCCTACCACCCCTTTCACACATGCTAACAAAATACCATTTGCTGGAACAGTAAAAATTCATAGCGCTTCAAGGTCCAGAAGGACTAACCACAGCTGTGGTGCATGTACCCACATTAGGAATACACGGAAAAAAAAACAGGAACAGGCACTGAGAAGTGAGAAGTCTGACTCAGACAGATAACCTGGTACTGTAAAGCAGATGTGGGGTGAGAAAGAAATGCAGATCTACCAGCATGGAGAGGCATAATAAATAGTCAGCACCATATTGCACTGACAGAGCAATGTAATGTCACTGAAGGAGGAAACATTTCTGTGGTGAAAGGAGATAAATGTCATGTCGCTGGTATAGAAACAAGCAAGCCACACAGGGACTCAAGAGATTTCTCCCCCCACCCCAAGCTCCCCTAAAAACCAAAAAAAACACAACCGAGAACAAAGGAAACTAAAAGCATGAGAGATATCTGAACTAGAGGTGCTGCCTGCAGATAAGAATGAAAAGCCTTCCAGTAAAAAATGAGACAAAGACAGAACAACGAAACACGGGAGAACACTGATTACAGGGAGACAGCTCTGACCAGGCCCGTGTATTTTATTGTTTCTTTGCTCATTTGCACCCTTCCCCTTCCAATAGCAAGAATACAAGGGAGACTTTGCTCTACCCAGAGTCCTACTTTTGCATCTACTTTGTTCAGTTCAGAAAGGACTGCAAGCTTTCAAAGACTGGAAATTCCTCTGGTTCTAGTCCTCGAAATAAAAATACCATGCCAATAGAAACCCTGGAGGTCACCTCTTCATCTAGCTCAAGGAGAACAGAGAATTCAACAGAAAATATTCTGAAGTCTCTAGAGCATTTTGGTGGCCAACATAAGAGTAGCTATAATTCAAAGCCACTGCAAGACTATGAGCCGTATGGGAATTATTTTCTGAACTATTAAAAACTAGTTTATTTGCATAACATGTAAGGACAGAAACAACAAATAAAATTAATTCCTTACCACTGGAAACCAGAATTCTGATTTGCAACTGAAGGGATAACATCAGGCATTTCCAAAATAAGATGAGTGCAGAGAATTTAGTGCTGTTTCCCATTTCTGAGAAGCCACATTTCAGATGGCACAGTACAACAAATAAAATCCTTATTTATTTATTAAAGCCAATATTTTGACTCTTGTGAACTCACGGAAGTGAGTATCTGATTGAAGTGTCTCCAGCTACACAAAAACAGATCGACGTCCTTGAACTGAAAAATACAGCATAAAGCCAGGGACTGTACAGAAACAGAGGCCACTTATTCAGGCATCATCATTTTCAGCGCAGGCAAAAATTCCCAACAGAACAAACGCTTACAGCGCTCTCTTCTCTAGAAAACAACTGGAAGAGGAAAAGTATTGGGGAACTCCACATTGACGACATCTGTTTTCACTGTCTGTATTTCTCCTCTGTTTGTAAACAGAAGGCTTGCTTCCTCTACTCTTTCCACTTGTAACCTGTTAAAGTTATCCTGGGCACCGACAGACAAGATTATTTCTCTCATATCACTATCATAAAATTTTAACTACAATTCTTTAAGCTCCACTAGCCCCTCAATTAAACTTACATGCTTCCAACCTTCAGTTTTTAATAAGCATTTATTCCTGTGGCTACAAAGGTAGCCTGGTTCACTCAGAAGACCGACACGGAGGTGCGAGGCTTACCTCATTCAGTGTCTGCTGACGCAGACCAGTGCCCCGTGCTCGCATGCTGAGGTTCTGTGGGAATGGAGAAAGAAGCAAATTTGGGAAAACAGTGAAGACAGAAGTGACAGTTACAAGCTGCTGCAGGAAGAAATATTCTTCCTATTGCTTTTGTTCTTTCTGTTTTTGGGACCCTCTTAGATGGGAGCCACAGGAGGAATTACATCTCCTTTGTTCTCTTTTTCTTTCATGCTGTGCTTCATTTCCTTTTCTTGTGCTAAAGGTTAGAGGAAGGAGAAAGTATTGTTACAGGGAATAAGGAGCCAGAGGTCTAAGGCAGTTGTGGACCCACAACAGGCAAGGAGACTAAGAATTATGAAGAAATGAATCATGGAATCACAGAATGGTTTGGGTTGGAAGGGACCTTAAAGATCACCTGGTTCCAACCCCCCTGCCATGGTCAGGGACACCTTCCACTAGACCAGGTCGCTCAAAGCTCCATCCATCCCGGCCTTGAACACTTCCAGGGATGGGGTATCCACAACTTCTCTGGGCAACCTGTTCCAAAGCCTCACCACCCTCATAGCGAAGAATTTCTTCCTTATATCTAACCTAAATCTACCCTCCTTCAGTTTAAAGCCATTACCCCTTGTCCTATCACTACGTGCCCTTGTAAAAAGTCCATCTCCAGCTTTCTTGCAGGCCCCCTTCAGGTACTGGAAGGCTGCTAGAAGGTCTCCCCGGAGCCTTCTCTTCTCCAGGCTGAACAACCCCAACTCTCTCAGCCTGTCTTCATAGGAGAGGTGCTCCAGCCCTCTGATCATCTTCATGGCCCTCGCTCCAACACATCCATGTCCTTCTTACGTTGGGGGCCCCAGAGCTGAACGCAGTACTCCACGTGGGGCCTCAAGAGAGCGGAGTAGAGGGGGAGAATCACCTCCCTCGACCTGCTGGTCACACTGCTTTTGATGCAGCCCAGGATACGGCTGGCCTTCTGAGCTTCTCATCAACCAATACCCCCAAGTCCTCCTCCTCAGGGCTGCTCTAAATAATCATCTGGGACTTATGCTTTCCAGGTATTTTTCTTCCAGTTATGAACGTTGATCGCAACTGCAGAGGAAACAGCTGCTACTAGGACAGACAGAAGAATCAATTTCTTTTCCATTTTGGGCATTTTATTTGAAATTAATCAAAAGACCAGAACAGCAGCATTTATAAAAGGTACCCAGAAAAACAAAGAGTCTTCTGTTGATTTCAAGTCACATGTTACTGACATACAGAAACTATTTCATTTCGGTAGCTTATAGTCATAGTGATATTGATCAAAGGCACCTGCAACTGTCTTGGTTGCACATGCACTGTAGTAATTATGCATGCAAATGAGCAAATTAGACATTTTTGTGGTTGATCACCAGTATAATTACTATAACTGAATACGATCATGGTAACTGTACACACAAATTACACATGCATGCAGTTTTAAAAACCAAGCGTTGCATTCATTGTCTCTATTTTGATAACGTCCTATGGAAACACTCCTCCACTGGAAACAATAAAAACTATTAATTTTTTAAAAGATGTACATTTATTCAACTGTCTACTGAACATTAAAAAAATATAACAATCCAGTAATTTTGTTTTCCAAGCTGATATATCAGCAAAACCTCAGCACTGTCATAAGATTTACCAACTTAAAAAGAATAAGGTATTTAATCATAGCCTTTTATTCCTCCTTTTTATACGTATTTATTAACCTGTAACTTCAATAAGATATTAAAGGATTGGAAATTATTTGAAAAAATAATGCATATGATCAAACTTTTTAAAAAGAGCTGAGCTAAATTTCCATTAGCTCATCACAGAGATAAGTGGAAATATTTTAAAAGTTTGGATTTTTATCAGCCTCAACACTTAAATACACAGGATTTGATTATACTTCAGACCAAAGAGTTGGTGCATTCAAACCCATACAAGGTATTTTTCTAAGGTACATAAACAACAACATGGAAAATACGCTTTCATCTCTCAAGCCCAGATTTTGATCCATCCATATTAACATAAGGAACGATTTTGCCAGGGCAAAAGCATTTATTATTAAGTATTTCAAAGAATGTGACAGAAGTAATAAAATATTTAGATATTGCTGTATTCCGGCAGATCACGGCGTAGTCGTATTGCCTTCAGCTTCTCTACTTTGATTTTTGTTCGCAACAGTTCTTCTTCCAGTTGCTGCTTTCTTTTCAAACCATCCCTTTTTTCTTGGACATAAAGACCAATTTTTCTCTGATTTTCTAATATTATTTGATGCTCCTCTTTCAGCATTTGTAACATCTGTGGGTCATACCCACACATCGGTCTAAAGCGTTCTCCAACCTCAAGCCTAAAAAACTCATCCCTTCTTGGTACAGGAGAGGGAGACATCATCACTCTCATATCAACTGAAGATACTGATGTTGAAGGAGACCTTTCCATTATATGCACCAGCTGGTGTTCTTCCTCTTGTTCTAGGTTCTCATTTTGCTGTGAGTCTATAATCAAAGAAGGAAGAGGTTTGACATCGTCTTCCGATTGCAGCTCCATCATGACTGTCGCAGGATGGTGATCCAACATTGCCTGTGGTGAACTGGTACCAGCAATTGTTTCTTTATCGATACTAGCACTAGAACACACAAAATCATATTTAAATAATCCATTAAAAACTATTTTTAAAAGGTGTAGCTGTAAGTAACCAAAGCTTAATTTGAAATACTACTCTGCTATCTATGCCTGGGACTCTACTTCGTTACATGAACACCACCTGTACCCCTCCTTCTTTCCACCACACGTATACAGCCCTGCCTTATTCAGATTCTATTGCTATAAAAGGCAGTATAGCCAACAGAGAACTATCCTGGTAGGCCCTCCTTCTGACACGGGAGAAGCAAGAAGAGCCATTAGTGACAAATGAGAATAAAAACAAAGCAGCAGCAAGCGATGCAAGTGACAAAGAGTTTATATAATATATAATGTGATTTTAAAAGGGCATAAATTTAGATTGAGCAGACTGTGGCAGAAATGTTCCCATCTCCCAAACTTATTCATCTCCTCCTGTTCTAATGTGTTCCCTGTTTCCAATTCATGTACCCAAGTATTTGGTTGGGTTTTTTTTAATGTAAAACAATGACTGAATAAAATTATACAGAGCCTTGGGAGAAGAAACCAGAACCCAAATGATGACCCTGCCAGTCGATTAGGGAATCAAGCTAATCCTTGCTCCTTCAGTTTGAACTGGTGATCTCAATATTTTTCTGAAGCTTCACACAGAAATGTTCCCATTAAGAACAGCCTATAGTTCTGTGCATTTCTTTTTGAAAGTACAACTCCCACTTGACTCATCTGTCTTTGTGTAAACTCCTGAGTCAGCAGCACCTCAAATCATGATTTGACATTACATTGGCTTTGATGATAATAATGGCTCGAGCTGTTCCTGCCTACTTCTCTACCATCAGTTGTGTTCGAAACCCTACACTTCTGCACATCACTCCTTTATTCAGGTAATGTTTTTTAAGCCAGATCAGCTTCTTGATCTATTTTACAGTACAGATCTACAAAGAATACTTTCAGCATGACTGGGAAGGCAGTACAGTGTAACATGGGAACAGGAATATATAAACCTGGTACCAATACTGAAGACAGTGCATCATCACGGCCATGACTGTCTAAAACGGAGCCTGTAACTGGTGGCTGCAGGTATGAGACATTCCTCAAACCTTGAAGAACTGAGCTGCTGCTGCTAGCAGCTACAGGCAGTGACTGGATCCGTGATTAATATAACATTTGTGGATGCTTCCCAACCCTGGAGGACCTGAGTTGCTGTCTATTAAATTGGGGGGTGGGAGGTGTTTGTTTACACATTTTAAACTCCTTGTGAGCCCTACAGTCCACAAATTGAGAAACGCTATCTGCTAATTAAAACACTCTCCTGGTTAGCAGTAGATGTGGGTTCAAATTCCGAGAAGCAAAGGAGAAATTTAATTTGTCCATCCTACTTCTCATGTAAATGCACTAACTCCTTAATCAAAAGGTGGCATGATCTTCTGCATCTCCCATGGTCTTCAAAACTCTTGGTTTAAAAGAAATAAGCAGTCATGGTTGCAATTTCCAAAGGACCCTGATCTAGTCTGCCATCCGTTAACATTAAAGTGCAATTTCTAAAATAAAAGCATGAAAGCTTCTCAATACTCAATTATAAAAATGTTCAACAGGGTCAGAGCAATATATTTTCCAAAAATTAATCCTGTCAACCACCTAAACTATTTTAACTAAAGATTTAAAAAAAAAAAAAAAGTCCGTCTAAGGCAGGTATTGAAAATAGACCTTTCATTTATTTCATGAAGAAAATGCCAGGATAATCTTAATTCTACTGACTGTTACCTGAGCTGCCTATAGAGCATCAATTGTATCGCCTTACTTCCTCCTCCTCATGCCACAAAGCTTCACCTTTTCCTATACACCTCTCTCTCACATTCCTTTTACTCCTCTCATTGAACATCGGAAGTATTAAAACAAATTTTCACTTGTTTTCCCCAGTGCTGACTGTAATTCTGGGCTTCCCCCTCTTCACAACCGCAGCTTCTAATACAGCTTCCCTCCTCCTTATTTGCTGGCTCCTGGCCAGCTTCTAGCCTGAGAAAAGTGGAAACAACCAGCAGGAGAAGCAGGTCATTCTGACAAAAGGAAACAGACAGAGAGCAGAAAGAGAAAGTGAGAGCGAGTCTAACATAGACTAGAGCCTCCGAACAGTAAAAAATCCATCTCTTAAAGCGTAATCCACACAGAACTAGAAAATTACCAAATCTTCAGGTAACTCTGATGAGGCTTTTTTTTCCCTTAGAGTCAGTCTCTTAAGAGGAAAACAATTAAACAGCAAAGAGAGAAAGAAGGAATTGAGAAACAAAAGAGCCGCCTGTATGGTGGTTACTAATGTTGTTTCTGACAACTTGACTGAAAGACAAACAACAGCTACCACAATTGGGGGATGGTGTTTATAACCCTGCAAGCACCCAGGATTCACCAGGTTTTGTTTAATCACAGCGAGCTAGAAATTGCTTAAAGGTGCGATTAAGAATTTGGATTCATTGTAAGTTGTATTTCTGTCCTACAAAACCTAAGCCATATCCTGGTGAGTTAAAACCCAATACAAGGTTTTGAAAATTAGGGTAAAATGTAACTCAGAGTTAAAATTAGAACTATAAAATAATGATGTATTTGGGCAGGGAAAAATCATTTAAACGATACACTTTTCCTTCAGCACACAGTGTATTGGCTGTTCCTAGGAACAACCATTTTGGGTAAGCAGTAATCAAGTCAATGTTCCCAGAGCCATAAGGGACTGCAAAAAATGTTTAAATTATAGGAGACGAACTATGGAGATCATTAGCTCTTAATCATTCACGAAAAGCGTCAGTGCTTTTTATAAGCCGATCTACAAACCAAAGTTCTCACACTATTTTTTTTTTTCCTCCTTACAAAAGTTGGTAGTCAAGACACTGCAACCTTTATTAGCGCAATTAAAAGCCTTGTTTTGTTCCAGAGAATTCTTTGGAACAGTTCCTCCAGGGGCATTCACCAGGAGCAGCAGTGCAGCCCAGTTGCTTCAGACTTCTTTACGCAAAGGACCCACAACAGCATATTTTTAGAGCATCTGGCATGTTGGGATTTAGACAATTGTTACCATTCAGTTCAACCAGTGGCACCATGAATCCAATTCAGCGTGTGTGCGCATGCCAGCTTTTCTTAGAGTGTTACGCTGCTGCACCAACTATCAGTATATCTGATTAAAATACAGAAAGTTCGCTTCCCATTAATCTGCTTGGGAAAATAAGAAAAATCAGAGCTTTCTCAAGGTTGCTGGGGAGTTATTTGAGCTTTTTTTCCCTCCTCCCTAGCTTAGTTTTTGTATCTGGAGGAACCAAAACCTGACCCAGGCATTTTTTGATCCCTCAAGGACCAATACAGAACCAGCAGAGTGTTGCAAGTCAGATATGAGGGGCATTAGCCAGCTGTGGGAGAAAGCCTGCATGCTGCCTGCCTGTATTATGTCTGGCTCAAATCTAGACAGTGTGTCTCACTTTACTGAGCAGTAAAAAAATCTACAAAAAAAGAAAACTTCTAGTGCTGTACCTCTCAGCTTCTCTCTGTATTTAAACTACCTAAGATACAATACAAAACTGCTTGGAGTTTAGACTGCAATTAGCTTTGCTCCAGTTCCAAGGAACCACCGTCAGTGCAAGAAAAGTATAATTTAAAAAAACATTTGCACTCACAAAGGCACTGTGGTGTGGGGAGTCTCAATTTTTTTTAAAGGACTGGGATCAGTTAAAACATAACATGCAAACATCAGAGTAAATGAGAGAAAAAAGGTGTATGAGTAAGGTTTCTTAGCCCTGTGAACTAACTTTATTAAAAATCTTCTATAAACCGGTAATAGTGCCATATGTTGCAAAATGACTGCAGTATTACCTTAAATGGAGGAGAATAGCCATCACTTTGCCAGTGTTTGAATAATCTGCCTATTAAAAGGTAGGGGAGGGGTAGAGGTTGGAGCTCCTATTTCTCTGATTCTCTCTTAACCCTCACTTTCCAGAGTATGACAAAGACTCTGAAACAGGCTTTGAAAGAGACCTGGCAAAATGAATGCAGTGCTAAGTCACCATAAAGCTTCCCATAAAACAAAGGCAATATTATTTTGTCATTGTTCCCCATTTGCGGATTTTCTCTGATAAACATTTCCTTTAGGAGCCTGAACACAAGCAAAGCGTTACAGAGTAGATAGGAGGCGCCATCATTTTCATTCAGTAACAAAATAAAAAGAATCGTCTCACCTTTGAACACCGCTCCTGTCTCTTAAACACACACTGGAAATCTGTGGAATCATCTCCACAACTTTCTTGGTTGGCTCGGAAATGCTGCTTTTACAATCTGAGTGAGTCTCCTTTTGCTGCAATAGCTCCTGCTTGGCATATTCTTTGAGCCTCTTGTACAGCGTGCGCAGGCCCTGTGCAGTACGAGGAGGGCGATCTACTCCGATGGCATTGTAGTTATCAGCTATGATATCCCAGCATTTGTTTTTTTCCACTATTACGGAATGCTTATTGGTATGTTCCTCGAGAATTTTAACGTACGGCTTCACGAGTTTTAGCAAATCGAGCTTTTCAGATAAGGTAAAATTAGAAGATCTGGCCTTCCCAACCATTGTTGTCTTTGAATTAAGGAAGCCGTTTCTGAAGCCACCATGCAGTCCCTAGCTCTGCTCAGCTCTTTTTCACAAACAGAAAAAGATCAGGCTTAACTAGGCTAGTCTCATTTAGGCCCACGCCTACAAGGGAGGGTTTATTAAAATTCCTTCAGCTTAAGCTGACGCAGGTTCAGGAAATCTGCTTAAGCCAAGCCTGACCTACATAAGGCTTCAGACTGAAGAAGACGAGAAGAAACAAGCAAAATACACTTTTGTATGAAGAGACCAGACACACGCAGGATTTAAAAACACAAAGGTTTAAAGATTAGCACGTTACCCAGCTAAAAATTACCTAATTTAGCTGGAGTAACAAGCTCTGACACATCTCCCTAGCGCTCTCACACGTATCTCAAACTGAAACCGCGCTCGAGATGATTTTACACGTAACGACGTCCCCCCAAAAAGCAACAACCGCTCTGCGACACGCGCGGAGCGTTACGGGGAGCGGGCGGCGAGCGGCCGCGGCGGCCGGCGAGGGCGGCGCGCGCAGGGCGCTCCCTGACAGAGCCCCCGGCCGCCGCCGCCGCGCGCCCCTGCGCCATTTGCATAATGCTGGTCCCGCTGTCAATCAGGGGCGGCACAGCCTCCAGCCGGTTAGGTTACACTCAGGCGCGGGCCTCGCCGTACCCCCCCCGCGCCGTCGGCTGTTTGCGGTCGCCTCGGCCCGCAGCTGTGCCCCGCGAAAACCCGCCGGCCTCCCAGCGCCGGTGTCGGCGCCCCCGGGTCCGCCGGGACGGGGAACGGCGCGATCGCAGGCTGGGGCCGCAGGCGCGAGAGGCTACAGTCAGTCGTGACAGATGCACCGAGTGCCTGGTCGCGTGCGGAGACCGGCATTTTCATAGTACCCACCAGCAAACCACCTGCTTCTATAACAATAATACTTCAGGCACTCTTTCAGGATAAAAATCTGATTTTTATTAACGCTGGGTGCGTGCATTTCTAACGTGCACTCGAAAACGTATCGCCTTAAACCAAGCCTTGGCATAAAGACGCAGGCAGGGCTCTAAATTTCTCTGGGCTACACTAAATCAGCAAATCGGAGAAAAAGAAAAACCTGCGGATGAAAGGAACGGTGCTCTCCAGTACAAAAGATAAAACCTAAGTTTGAAAAATGACGTACACGACTGAAAGAGTCTGGAGGGTGTAAACAAACACCGTTTGAGAGAGCGGGAACAGCTTCAAGCTTAACATGTTCAGCCTTGAAAAGAAGGGAGCCTGGAAGGGGGGTGAAGGAAAGAGAAATCTAATTATAGTTTGAAATATCTTAAGGCTATAAAGATCTAGCTATAAACTTGTTTGCTCTAAGGGGAAAAAGCCCAAAGCAGACACAAGGCGGATTCAAAACAAGAAAATCAAACTAAACAAAGGGAGACTTTTAACTGCTAAAAATCAATTAGCATTTGGAATAACGAGTACGTTTGGAACCATTTCTGAGGCTTGGTTTGCCTGTACCACCTAACAAAATTGCAACCAGTCCACTTCGCTGGAATTGCTTTCAAGCCAAGATTAAATACAGCATTTTGTAGTCTGAAGCCCATTACAGTAGAATTTGAGACACAAAATAGTCATGTGGTTAGAAGCACTGTATGAAAACCATTACTTTCAAACACCTAATCCTTCCCTATTTCCCCACACGTTGCTCTTTACTAATATTAAGAGTAGAAAGCTGGTGGTTATATTTCTTTTTTTTTTTTTTCAAATTGATGCACTTGATTATTCTTCGGTAACTGTCAAAAAATAAAAATAAAAAAGGACTATGCCTCAGACAGCTGAGGCAGCTGGCCGCATCGGAACTGAGTCACAGGCGAGCCGAGGCTGTACCCTCTGATGCTGAAGCAGTTGCGCAGTGCCCAGTCGCTTGACTTTTTGGGGACAAAACGAAAGAAGTCAGTGTTAGGTTGTGTGACTGAAGGCTCCTCCCCACAGGGACAAAGAGCACAGGTGAACAGTGTCGGGCAGAGGAACCCCCATAACCCAAGCGAAAGAAACTGAGCCCTTGGTCGGGCTGCTGCCAGGGCTGTCAGAAACGGGAGCAGCCCAGCGTGCCGGGGGCGAGACCCAGAAGAGGGTCACTCTAGATCGCCTTGCAGACTGAAGGAGGGGGGTTACTGCCCACTGGGGTATGGGACTCATTATGAGATGCCAGGAAGAGTATTTTGGGATTGCAGAAGGCATAGAATCATAGAATCGTCAAGGTTGGAAAAGCCCCTTAAGATCATCGAGTCCACCCGTTAACCTAACACTGCCAAGTCCATCTATCCCATGTCTCCGAGCACCGTATCTATCCGTTCTTTAAATACCTCCAGGGATGGAGACTCAACCACTTCCCCAGGCAGCCTGTGCCAATGCTTGACCTCCCTTTCAGTGAAGAAGTTTTTCCTAATATCCAACCTAAACTTCCCCTGGCGCAACTTGAGGCTGTTTCCTCTCATCCTATCGCTTGTTACTTGGGAGAAGAGACCAACCCCCACCTCGCTACAACCTCCTTTCAGGTAGTTGTAGAGAGCAATCAGGTCTCCCCTCAGCCTCCTCTTCTCCAGACTAAACAACCCCAGCTCCCTCAGCCGCTCCTCCTAAGACTTGTGCTCCAGACCCTTCACCAGCTTCGTTGTCCTTCTCTGGACACGCTCCAGCACCTCGATGTCCTTCTGGTAGTGAGGGGCCCAAAACTGAACACAGTACTCGAGGTGCGGCCTCACCAGTGCCGAGTCCAGGGGCACGATCACCTCCCTTGTGAGGACAGGATATTTAGAGGAAGACCCAAAGGCAAGAACAGGGAGAGATGAAAGTGGTTTGGGACAGAACAAGCATAGGAAAATACTGGGGAAAAAAGGGATAAAAGGGGCCAGGTGCACAGAAACAGGTGGCTGCTCAGTACAGTTGTCCAGCCATGCCCTGCACCTGATCCCTGCAGTTCTAGCTTCTTGTTAAACTACGCTTGTAACTATTTTCCTGGGTGAGGGGAATCTCTACTCGGCGTGCAGGACTGCATGGATGTGTACATGCCAGCAGCGGGAGTTGTACCGGCGGTGACTGAGGCCCAGGTGCTTGGGGCACCAGCAAGCAGAGGCCGGAGCCCGCGCGTACGGCCTGGGTGCCCAGGTCAGTGCGCGATCGCTGGCAAACACCAAGCTGGACTAGCCAGCAAGTTGGGTATGAGGCTTGGGAGCCAAGAACTGGAGTAAGCAGGAGTCTGGGCCAGATACGGGAGAGACCAGGTCTGAGATTTGGCTACTGGAGGGACCAGGACACCTGGGGACTGGCCACTGGTAAGGTCATAAAGACCAGCTGCCGAGAGACCCAGTGCAGGTTTGTGAGGCAGCTGGGAGACGAGGGGATCTGGAGACCAGCTACTGAGCAGAGTAAGAGCCTAAGGCCTCATGCTGAAGGGATCCATATTGTATACCTATGTATTTTCCACAAACAGGCCTTCATCCCAGCCAGCCGGTGAAGGGAAAGGATGAGGCCATTGGTGCTGCTTGCGTTGGCACGAGTGCTGCGTTTTCTGTATGGCTGGCCGTATACATACATATAGTGTGTACACGTGCGCCTCTTGGGAATACACCCTCAGCCTCACTGCGGGCTGGACCTGGCCACAACGAGCTGCAGCAGTCTCCTCTATACTGGATTACCAGATGCAGCAACTCCTAATGTAGACCTATTTAAACTTGTATTGGTTTATAACCTTACTGCTTAATGTTGCTAGAGAGACCAAGTTTCTCCACTAATGCAATTATAGCAAAATACCGCTACAAAGATTTCTTTTGAGCAAGTGCCTGAAGGAATCAGTCTGAATTACATATTGTTCTGCAGGAGTGTAAAATAACCGTTGTGAAAACGAAGCTGGCTGCCAACCAAGATTTTTTCCTTCCTTTTTAAAATAGCTCTGCTCATCAGCCTAAGGTCATATCAGTACTTGGATGAGAAATCACAGAAAGATAGAAGCCTGGATGTTAATGTTACATATAGGCTTCTTTGAGCTAAAACAATAGGTGTAGTTCCAAGACAATTACAAAAAAAGAAATGTTGCCGCAGTCCACCCTTCCTCCTGCACCTTCCACCAACACTGGCACTTATGCAACACAGTGCACAGCCAGTTCAGGGAGATGATCCAGCTACAGCCTAATTTTTTTTTTTTTTTTTTGGCAAGCATAGAGTTAAGTAATTGGTTTAAGTCAACATAAATGTGGGACATTGCCAAAACAGGAATTTCTGCCTCCCCCCAACCCTGTCATGTTCCCGCCCCTTCGCTGTGCTGATACGAGTACTCACGAATCTTCTGAGCAAGTCAGATAAAGGGAACTGATTTGTCTGCAAATTAACTGTTTTCTTCTGAGCTGGGTTAGTTTTAACCACCAGCAATTCCTTGATCCAGAAAGCCACAGGACAAATCATAAAATCGTTAAGGTTGGAAAAGCCCCTTAAGATCATCGAGTCCAACCGTTAACCTAGCACTGCCAAGTCCACCACTAAACCATGTCCTCGAGCACCACATCTATCCGTTCTTTAAATACCTCCAGGGATGGAGACTCAACCACTTCCCCAGGCAGCCTGTTCCAGTGCTTGACTACCCTTTCGGTGAAGAAGTTTTTCCTAATATCCAACCTAAACCTCCCCTGGCGCAGCTTGAGGCTGTTTCCTCTTGTCGTATCGCTGTTACTTGGGAGAAGAGACCAACCCCCACCTCGCTACAACCTCCTTTCAGGTAGCTGTAGAGAGCAATCAGGTCTCCCCTCAGCCTCCTCTTCTCCAGACTAAACAACCCCAGCTCCCTCAGCCGCTCCTCCTAAGACTTGTGCTCCAGACCCTTCACCAGCTTCGTTGCCCTCCTCTGGACACAATCCAGCACCTCGATGTCCTTCTGGTAGTGAGGGGCCCAAAACTGAACACAGTACTCAAGGTGCGGCCTCACCAGTGCCGAGTACAGGGGCACGACCACCTCTCTGGTCCTGCTGGCCACACTATTCCTGATACAAGCCAGGATGCCATTGGCCCTCTTGGCCACCTGAGCACACTGCTGGCTCATGT